ATAATATTTTTTAAATATTATCAAAATAATATTTTTGTAATATTTCAATAATGTTATTAAGTTTTATTAATTTTATAAAATAATTAATTTTAATACAAATGTTGTTATAAATTTATGTATCTTAAATGCTTACAATTTTATTTAAAAAGTTAAAAATATTCTTAATTAGTCATTATTAATTATAAATCAAATATCAAAGTTTATTTATCTTAAATATAATTATATAACTATATGATTATAGTAATTTATTTATTTGATGCAAGATTTTAATTATGAAAAACAATTAAAGATGAAAGAAGTATATTTTTTATGTAATATTTTTTTATTTGATATAAAAATTTTGATTATAAAAAAGAATTAAAGATGAGAGAATACAAAAAAAAAATATTTATTTATAATAATATTTTAAAAAAAGTTACAAAATAACTTATGTAACATTTTTTATTTAATAAGAAACTTTAATTTTGAAAACAATTAAAAATAATAATATTAAAATAAAACTATTATTCTATTTATAATAACTTTTTAAAAAAAAATTATAAAATAATTTATTTACCTAATATATAATATTTGAATAAACATAAATAAAAAATGTTAAATTAAAATATAATACTAAACCCCAAAATATTGAGCATACCATGGGCACATGGTGGTATATGTAGCAAAACCACACCACACACCTCCAAAAACCGCTATGCCTATATGTTCAGTATTTGGTCGGTGTTGCAATGCAAGTTTCATGTCCTAGCTACGTCACCAAACAGCACAAAGCACCTAGTTATGACACCTTCACTACCAGTTCAGTTACAAAAATAAAGCTATTAGCAACTGGAACTACCACCTGTCTCCACTCACCATTCACCACCAAACCTCCACCGACCGAATTCATCGCCCCTTTAGACCACTTGTTCTTGCAGTTGCAGCAAACCTTGAGATATTGATGCACACATTTTAACTAAAACCAATAATAGCTTGCTTCAATGTAATTATTAATGTCATTAATTAAGTACATCAATGTTTTGTAAGTATTTAATATGTTTATCACTTTTAAAAATAGCAAATTAGTTTGCCATATCACACCAGTATTGTTTATGATGCTGCCAGACAAGATGTACTTTTGCATATTGGAGGAGATATGAGTGAATATACAAATCATATACATCTATATCTATATATGTATAATGTCCAAAACTTTTTTTATTTTGCCAAAATTTATCAACTTCGCTGAGATGTCATTGCCTCATACATTTTTAACACATGGAAACACACCCTTTCACGCAAACACTGTCTCTTGAGATTACCAACTAGCTTCCATCCTCTCCCCAATCACATACTCGACCAAATAATGCCCCCTTCCTATACAGTGCAATGCACACAACGACCAAACTTTTTTATTATTATTATTATTATTATTATTTTATCAATAAAAAATAGTTTCATTAAAAGGATAAAGTTTCATCCAACAATGTTCATGTTTGCTTGATCCACTTGTGCTGCTACCCTATTTAATTTATGTATGCAATATTGTTCTCCTTATTCTCATACTAACCTTATAGTGTATTTAGATGAGAAATTTAAATAGAGTAATTTTTTTATTTGAAAATTTTTAAATTTTTTGAGATTTAATACCTTGTTTGGATAATGAATATATAAGAAATTTGAAATTCAAGCATTTGTGAAATTTTTTGAAATAATAGAATTTTAAATTTTCCCAAAAGAGTAAGAATATTTGAAATTCTTCATATTTTTTTTTCTTCTTATTTTACTTATATATTTTATCTTATCTCTTTATCTCTTCATGTTTTTAATTATTGAATATTCAAAAATATATTTAAAATTATCTAATATTAATTTTTAAAATTATTAAATATTTAAAAATTAGCTAATATTTATTCTTATAAAATTTAATTTGAAAATCTCAATATAAAATATTTTTAAAATCAATTTTATCACGGTGAAATCAAATTATCATATCCAATCTAATAATTTAAAATTTGATAAATTTGAATTGACTTTTCCAAACAAAATATTTTAAGAATGATAAGAATTAAAATCAAAGTAATTGAAATACTAAAATCTTAAAATTCTTTGAATTTATAAAATTTCTCGTCCAAACACACCATTAGCGACCATATTGCACAAAATTGATAAGTAGAAATATATGATACCTTATATACCAGCTCTTTATTTGAATAATCTATCTTATACATTCTTTCTGTTTATCTGTTTAGAAATCTCAACTCTCAATTACTGTGACAATTAAACCTGGACTTGTGACGAAATTCTCAATTGCAAATTAAAATTTGAGAGATCTTTGTTTATTTAATTAACTCTGCTAATTAAGGTATAAGGAAATTTTTGGGTATTTCATTATATATCAGGATTGATTTGTATTTGAATACCATAATCTGATCCTTTATTTGTTTCTTTAAATAGACCAAAAAAGAAACCGAAATATTTATTTAAGGATTAAAACCAATCTAGTTAATCAATTGAACAAGGTTACTGGTCCATGAGTTCCTGTGTAAAGAACAAAATACCTTTCATAAGCTAAGGTGAATGCCTTTGCTAGACCTGGCAATTTCAAACCCAAGAAAATATTGAAAATCCTAAGTACCTTCAGTGTATTATAGTTTCGTCAATATATAGACTAGCAAAATGGCAAGCGCAGAACCAGAGATCATACTGAAAACAGTGAGTAATTAGCAGTGAATTGTTCAAAACAAGAGCG